CTACTGTATAGCTATGAATTATTCAGAAGAACACTGTGCATCTTGTTTTCTTACATTTGCACTGTAATCAGTCTCTCTCTCTTAAGTGTGTGAGGCCAGCAGGATGGCATCCAAGAAATTGAGTGATTAATTATCTTGCGATCTGTTAAAAGTGGTTGATCGGATCAATGTGTAGAGGCACAAATGTTTCAGTTGATCCACTTAACCCCCTTTCTTGCCTTACAGATGGCATAGCAATAAAGAACCGTTGTATTCAGTCCTTTCTCTTATAATATTCTTTTCCCTTCTTGTAGAATTTAACAGACCTTAAAAAGTATAAATTGTCATAATTCTCACCCTCATGTTATTCCAAACCTGTAAGAATTTCCTTCTTCTGTTGAACACAAAAGAAAATATTTTGAAAAATGTTAACAACCAATCAGTTGCTGGTAGCCATTGATTTCCTTTTTTTTTTTTTTTTGTCCATATGTAAGTCAATGGCTACCAGTAACTGTTTGGTTATCAACATTCTTCAAAATATCTTAAATTCCACACACAGACCCCAAAACTTGCTACATGAAACACACACACAAAAAATCTAATAACTTTATCATTTTAAGTAAAGGAACAAACATTTCCCAACATTACAATATTATAATTGACAACAGCGTAAATTAACTGGTAAACTGTCAAACAATACATCTATAATTATTTATGCCCCAGTGCATGTTGGGAAGGGGGTAACAGGACTACAAAACCACAAAAAAAAATTCAACTTACCTGCTTAGCTTATCTGACTCTGTTGGTTTGGCCTAAAATGAAAAACAAAACAAAACAGTGTGTTAGAATAAAAAAGATGCATTAAGGCGCATTACTTGCATTCCAGGAATTTAAAAAAAGCTGCAATAAATAATTGACATTATTCAGCATTATTTACTTTTATTTATCATTTCAAAGTGTATTCTTACAGTGAATTTTATCACTTGGCAGACAGCATCATTTCGAATCTTCCTGCCCCATAAATTACCAGAATTTTACTGCTTCTATTATATACTTAAACTAAATTTGGAGTCTCACCAGACCACACAGGGCAGAAGTGAAGCATGTTTAGCTGGAAGAAGTAACAGGATCAGACAACTGGGAGAAGAATCTCCTGTATCACATATGTGCACAAATCTGTAGGCTACTGTATATCTGTATGCTAGAGAGAAATCATCTTCAAGCAGAAAGAGGACAGTAACTCAGTATGCCCATTAACATGGCACAGTTTATCAAAAAGAGGGAACCTTGCCAAGCAAGTCTCAGATATGCCAGCTATTACTGTGCTATCGATCTGATGCACAGCAGAGCAACCATGGACATCATGAATTTTTCATTTGATTGTGTTGTCAAATTGTAAGACTAAGGCCATACAAGCTTCACTCTCATTTTATGAGTGTACACACTTTTTTTCAGTGTACAGTCTCAACACTTCCCTAAAGACATGTTTATGGTAATACAGAAGTTTAAGGCTCTCAGTAAAAGACTCCTGCAGCCATAATGATTCCATTGTCTGCACCGGTTTGCAGCGTGTCTGGCTGATAATATCGCATAACCATCATTCAAGTGTAGATGCACTGATGTTGCTTCAGAACGGTGGCTCTTTGAGTGATGGAAAGTCTGTAATTAAATCAGTGGGAAGTCTCTGGCTCCATGGCTCTTGTGTTCATGTTCTCTCCATTGATCTGTATCAGTGGACGGCTTCTGTAACGGCTGTTGCAGCTGAGGTGCTCTGGGTAGTGTTTGTCTGCATGTGTTATGGTGCTTTGAGAGAAATCAAATAGCCTTGGTTTGCTATAAGTTATTTTAAAGTCAAAATGTGTCCGTTTTGAATGTTAAAATACTGTCTAATTTGCAGACAAGTGAGTAAAGCATTTGTAAACTGATTTGTCTCTATGGCACTATACATTACTCTATTTGTATTTGCAGCTCAGCCCAACATAGTGACACTGGCTCAACCAATAGCTTGTTTTTGGAGGCGGGGTTATCTGTTTGATCGACCAATGGCAGATAGGGATGTGTTCTGGAAACCTGTTTGAAGACAAACATTTTTAGTACTTTAATCTCATAGACATTTTACACTTTTGACTTGAGCCAGAAAGCAACCACCTAGAACACCCTACCAACACATTTAAGAACATTCAGTAAAAAACCTCTACAACTGGTTCGCAAAAACAGCTAGTCAAGCTTATTTTTGCAATTCTGTACTGCAAATGCTAATTTTTTTTTTTTAATTACTGAATTAGGTTGAGATCTACTTTGGGGATATAATTAGTTCAAATTTAATTCATTTAAAATATACATTTTAATTGGCTAGTAATACAGTCACAGGCTAGTGATGGTGCTTTGAGAGAAATCAAATTGCTTGAAGGTCTGCTATACATTATTTTAAAGTCAAATGTGTAGTTTTTCAATGTTAAAATAATTTATAATATGCAGAGACATCTAAAGCATCTGAAGATTGATTTGCCTCCAGAGTGCTATCAAAACATTTCTCAATATATCGACATTGGCTCAACCAGTGGCGTACACTCTAAAAAATGCTGGGTTGTTTCAACCCAACTTTGGGTAAAATATGGACTAACCCAACTTTTGGGTTAAAAATTTAATGTAAAAATTTAACCCAACAGCTGGGTTGGTCCATATTTGACCCAAAGTTGGGTTGAAACAACCCAGCATTTTTTAGAGTGTAAGTTTGGAGGCAGGGTTTTCATTTTTACATTAAATTTTTAACCCAAAAGTTGGGTTAGTCCATATTTGACCCAAAGTTGGGTTGAAACAACCCAGCATTTTTTAGAGTGTAAGTTTGGAGGCAGGGTTTTCTGTTTGACTGACCAATGGCAGACTGGGAAGTGTTTGGGAAACCCATTTGAAGTCAAACAATGTTGGTACTTCAATATCACAGAGATTTTGCACTTTTAACTCGAGCCTATATGCAACACCCTAGCAACCACACAACCACAGCAACACATTAAAAATACCCAATCAAAACAAAGCTAGTTTTTTTGTTTGTTTTTTGCAATTCTGTATTGTAAATGTATTAAATAACTTACATGGGTTATTTTAATTACTGAATAAGTTTGAGGAACTGAATTAGTTTTAATTTAATGAATTTAAAATATACACCTCTCTAGCTTGCCTCCTAATTTTCCATAAACCTGCATTGTATATTATGAACGTTGTTGTTTTTTTTGACGATTGCTTCTAGTTTCACTAGCAATTTGTCCTTAAACATCATATTAATTATTTTATGTACACACGTGAAACTGGACAAGAACCCTATATTGGTCTGTTTTAATAAACCTGTTCTTGTAATAATAATAATAATAATGTTAAGGCCAATATTTGCTGTCTCATTTTTCTGTCCGTGTACAGTCATTAAAGACAAACAGACTGTATTTCCATGATTTGTATCTTCCACTCAATGTAATGATCCATGGTTTAGTCATGTGAACTAGTATATCAGCTTTCTGCAGGCATTTTTGTGCTCTCAGCCTCTCTATTTCCCGCAAGCTTCATTCAATACCTGCTGTCTCTCTGCTTCCCTTTTCATGCAAGTTATTGAGCTTATTAAGGATGCCTGCAGCATTTTTTAAGCAGGAACAGGAGACACATTTAGGAATTACTATTGTCACAAGTGCTTTGTCTATACCATCATTATTTCATTAAACGTGTGCACCATATTGACAAGCCACACCAATAAGCCTTGTTTGCTCATTTTGTTTGCAAATTAATTACATATTGACAAGGCTCATCATTAAGGCTTATTTGCTCATTTGTTTGCAAATTACATTTTTAAATGTTCAGGAGGGCATTCTTAAAATAAGAGAAATCTATTAATATACTGTATAGATAGATAGAGAGAGAGAGAGCGAGAGAGACAGACAGACAGACAGAGAGAGATTTTTTTTCTTTTTTCTGCTTTGTGGTCTGTTTTGATTTAATATTTTAATGCTTACAGTACATGGATGCGACTTGGGATCATTGGAAGGTGTTTTCGTCTCAAATTTCTTGTTAGTCCTGTCTGTACACTCATATCCGGCAGATATCTATTGAAAGTTACTTAAAAACATTTGAAGAGATGATACATTTTTTTTGTTTAGACACTTGAGAAAATCAATAAAAGAAGGAAGAGAGATGAATTCCAGTAACTGCTGCTGAGTGTGTCTGAGTATGCAGTTTACACAGCCTGTCCTTAGAAGAAGTCAAGACAAGAAACCAAGGGTCAAGGCTGTGCTGGTTAGAATGGCCTTGTTAACCCCATGCAATACAGGATACTAGAAAGCAGTCATTTAAAACTAGATAGTAACAAGACCATAAGTCTCTCTAACCGCTGGTCAAAAGAATATGTATTCTGACTGATAAATTTTTTTGTAAGCAATGTATAAATTAAAACATTTATTTTAGCCAAGCAATCATTAATGTCCGTAAAAACAATATATATAATATAATTTACATTTTTTTTAATAATAATAAAAAAAGTTACATTGTATCCACATAAATTCCATATCAATTTGTCAAGAGGTCATAATGTGGTAACAAACATAAACTGAAGTAACTATTTAGGAATTAGCCTTAGAAATGGTTTGGTAAGGGTTTGAACAGTGGCAGGCACCTTTTTTGATTTCAATCCTGACAGTCTTGTCGAACCAGACAGTGTTAGGTTTTCATATTCAACACATCTAAGATCACAGAACCAGTTTGTAAACTTTATATTTATCCTCCTAAACAGCTTTTCCTAGACGGATACGAACGTCATTGCGCCACCGCGCCCTCGTTAAGCGCCGCGCCACGTCATATTCCACGCACGCAGACAGAGAGAGGCGGGAGCGATACCAGCAAACCGGCAAGCCCCGCCCTTCATTTGATATATATTTGTGCTGATTGGTCAGAGGTACTTCGAGCCAGTCTGTGATTGGACAATTGAGACGTCGTTAATAACAGGACCAAACACAGCAAACAGTGATTGGATGAAGGGCGGGACTTATCGGGTTGGAGGAAAAAAATAATAACGCAGGAGGAAGTGTGTATGTCATGCTGGAACACTGAAGATCTCTGTAACTGGATTCATTCAAGCGGTCAATATCCATATGTCTCCGTAAGTAAATGACAAATTGATCTTAGATAGGCTACATGAATCTAATACAATTTGATCGCGAGCTCTGTTGACATTTGATTGAACATACGGATGGTATTTTGGGAATTAACAGATTGAGAATGGAGGTTGATTTCGTCCCTAGGGAACTGCAGATTGAAATCAAAAATATGAAATTAATCTAATCAATTCCTGGACGTAATATTGTGTACTATTTCTACACTGCATTGTGACCTTTGCCTTGTACAACTGGACGGTGTACTATGTCATACTTCTGGATTTATGGTTTGTAATAATAACACACCTCGAAAAGAAAGATCTGTAAGGTGTGTCTGGTGTTATTTTAGTATCGAGATACTATTTTAGTTTTTATTAATAAATGTATCCATTTGTATATTTTTTATTGTTATTAGTTTTATTTGGATATAGTTTTATTAATTTTTATTTCAGTATTATTTTAATTTACTAATTTAAATTAAACTTTAATATTTAAATAAAGTTAAACTAAAGGAAAATGAAAAACGTTTCCTTGGCAGCTAGCTGAATTAAAATTAGTTTTAAAATATTTTATTATGATATTATTTTTATTTTATTACAGTCAATGTTTATTTCAAGTAACAAAAAAGTTTTTTTTATGGTTTAAGTTTTAGTTAGCTGTAATAACGTACTATGCCAACAGAAGTTTGACTTTGAATTGTAAATGTTTAAATGATCAAAGTCCAAATAAATTGTTGCCAGTAGTACACATTTATTGCCAGGGATTCCTGTTCGTTGATAAATTTGTATAAAATGTCATTTGATTATAGGGCCTCTGGAATGTTGCTCGACGAAACTCCCCTGTTTGATCCTTCTCTGCTCCAAGAGCTGGACTGGAGCAGCAACACCGTCTCCTTCTCGCCCCCTATTTCTCCCTCTCAGCCCGGAGAAGGTCTGGTCCTCCGTCCTCTCTGTACTGCTGACCTAGACCGAGGTACTGGTTACCGTTCAGCACTCTGCCCACTCATGTTCAGTTCTTCAAACAAACATGATAAACATATGTTGGTCTTTCTGCCTTTTTAGGCTTCTATAAGGTCTTATCACAGCTCACAGTGGCTGGGGATGTTACAGAAGAACAGTTCAAAGGTACTGCATGTTCCTAATGCAAATCACCCCACAGTTCTTCATCTCACAGTATAAGATACTCACTTTTTTTTTTTTTTGTCTCATCTGTCAATCAACAGCTAAACATGTGGCAGTGATGTTATTTGTGCTTTTATAACTGTTATATTTTAAAATTGATGTAAAACCATTGAATGACAAGTGGGTGAATGGATTGTAAATGTTACATTAAAAATCAGTGATAAATCTCAAGTTTATGCATGTATTTCAATGAAACTGGATTATCGTTCTAAATCTATCCACAACCTACAGTCCTGTCATAAACGGTCATATCTTTACACCGGGGATTGATAACACTGAAAACACAAGATATAAAGTAGCCATCTTTTATTGAGCAGTGGCAAACGCATCTTTCCTTACCTCAGTCTGAATTCATTTCCCCATTTTCATCCTAGCTTTTCAAGACTGATTCATCCTACCATTTCATTTCTACGGCAGTGACAGTCCCATTCTTTGATCCCCTCCCAACCCAAATCCGTCCAACAAAATAACAGTAATTCAAGTATCAAAAGTGCATTATTGCAATACTGTCCCGCTGCAAATGCAAAATGCTTTAAATACTATAAAACTGCAAAAAATTTCAGTGCATATAGCTCAAAAAGGAAAAAAATATCAAATCTTCCCCAGTTCCAAGGGTCACGAGGAGCAGTCTCTCCCTCCCAACCCCTGTACAAATATTTACATTTTTAATCCCAATAAAAATGTAAAAAGAAAAGTCCACTGTGGTTAAGCACTTTTTTTTTTTTTTTTATTAAAGCCTTTCCTTCATTTTGTGCTGCTGTAACTTGCATACTCCCGAAATCTTCATCCTCTTCTAGTGTTCGCTTTAAACTTCCTGTAGGGAAAGACGGATGATATTAGGAACGGCCACAGTATGTATAATGACCCTAATGACCCTAGTAACTAAAGTAGAAATTACAGCTCTCAGTTAGTACAATTAAGCCAGTTATTTATCATCATTATCATCATATTACATTTATTCATCTAGCAGATGCTTTTATCCAAAGTGAGTTACTAACATAACCATTAATCAAATGGAGCCAAGAACAAAAGCAGATTCACAATGCAAAAAATAAAATAAAAAATTGACCATAAGAGTACAAGCTATAAGCGAGAGATACAATTCTGCACTATTTCATCAAGATTAAAAAAAAAAACTGAAATCTAAAACAAATGTTGTAAATGCTACAAGTGAATTGAGGCATCACAACACTATAACACTATACATTTTGAAAACTGCTAAATATTTAACAGTATTAATTGTAAGGGTTTTTAAAGATTAATTTTGACGGCAAAGGAAATCTCAATGAGCAAATACACTTAAATATATTAAATATACAATTCAAAAAAAGCAAAAAAGTACCATGGTACCAATTAGGGCTGCACGATAAATCGAAATAATCGAAATGGCGCGATTCGACAGAAGCTGCGATTGTCATGCGTATCTTTCAGTGAAGCACGGATATGTCTCAGAGTAGTCAGTGCAATTTGGGAAAGAAATCAATTACATCTGTATGTGGATGTGTGTAAATATTCAAATGTAATCCCCTTTGTAATCGTTAACATTTTCATAAGTAACTGTAATTTAATTACACATTTTTTCTTTGTAACTGTAACTGATTACAGTTACATTTATTTTGCAATTAAATTACGTAGCGCCGTTACATGTAACTAGTTACTCCCCAACACTGTGAACGTTTCTAAATGTCCGCAGTCAACATCAAGCACTTGCTTTGAAAGTTATTCAGTTTTCTGTCTAAAATGTGTTTTCACTTCACATAACTTGCTATAGAAACAGAAATCATGTCTGATCACAAATAGAATGTGTGGTTTACATTGTCAGCCACAAAAAGTAACACTGTGGCCTGTCTAAGAGAAAAGACAAAACATTTTGTTTTATAGAAGAAGGGCTTACATACTTGAATGTTTTCTAATGTAAAGATTTCTATACAAGTTTTTTTTTTTTGAAGAGTGAAAATTGTTTCAAACCCATTTTGTTTCCAAATATACTATTTAAAAAACAGTTTGAGGCACATTTCCCTCTTTTACTTAAAATGTTAATGCTGTGTTTTGTGCTTTATTCTCAGTTTCTCTTGCAGGTACTCGTCTTCAACAGAAATCAGTAATAGAAAAAAGTTTTACATTTATGATGCTCATGTATTTTTTCAATTGTGGCTTTAGTCTTAGCCACTGGTGATAATCATTAGTTATGTGTAAAACCTAGATGAAGGAAAATAAATTATTTTAAAATACATCCTAATGCGATGAAAGCATATCTTTGTAAACGAAATGCCTTTATTTTTGTACTTTCACTGAGAGCCGGCATTCAAATGCTTTGTCTCATCTGTCAATCAACAGCTAAACATGTGGCAGTGATGTTATTTGTGCTTTTATAACTGTTATATTTTAAAATTGATGTAAAACCATTGAATGACAAGTGGGTGAATGGATTGTAAATGTTACATTAAAAATCAGTGATAAATCTCAAGTTTATGCATGTATTTCAATGAAACTGGATTATCGTTCTAAATCTATCCACAACCTACAGTCCTGTCATAAACGGTCATATCTTTACACCGGGGATTGATAACACTGAAAACACAAGATATAAAGTAGCCATCTTTTATTGAGCAGTGGCAAACGCATCTTTCCTTACCTCAGTCTGAATTCATTTCCCCATTTTCATCCTAGCTTTTCAAGACTGATTCATCCTACCATTTCATTTCTACGGCAGTGACAGTCCCATTCTTTGATCCCCTCCCAACCCAAATCCGTCCAACAAAATAACAGTAATTCAAGTATCAAAAGTGCATTATTGCAATACTGTCCCGCTGCAAATGCAAAATGCTTTAAATACTATAAAACTGCAAAAAATTTCAGTGCATATAGCTCAAAAAGGAAAAAAATATCAAATCTTCCCCAGTTCCAAGGGTCACGAGGAGCAGTCTCTCCCTCCCAACCCCTGTACAAATATTTACATTTTTAATCCCAATAAAAATGTAAAAAGAAAAGTCCACTGTGGTTAAGCACTTTTTTTTTTTTTTTTAGTAAAGCCTATCCATTTTGTGCTGCTGTAACTTGCATACTCCCGAAATCTTCATCCTCTTCTAGTGTTCGCTTTAAACTTCCTGTAGGGAAAGACGGATGATATTAGGAACGGCCACAGTATGTATAATGACCCTAGTTTCATACATAACTAAAGTAGAAATTACAGCTCTCAGTTAGTACAATTAAGCCAGTTATTTATCATCATAAATTTACATTTACATTTATTCATCTAGCAGATGCTTTTATCCAAAGTGAGTTACTAACATAACCATTAATCAAATGGAGCCAAGAACAAAAGCAGATTCACAATGCAAAAAATAAAATAAAAAATTGACCATAAGAGTACAAGCTATAAGCGAGAGATACAATTCTGCACTATTTCATCAAGATTAAAAAAAAAAACTGAAATCTAAAACAAATGTTGTAAATGCTACAAGTGAATTGAGGCATCACAACACTATAACACTATACATTTTGAAAACTGCTAAATATTTAACAGTATTAATTGTAAGGGTTTTTAAAGATTAATTTTGACGGCAAAGGAAATCTCAATGAGCAAATACACTTAAATATACAATACTGATAATTCAAAAAAAGCAAAAAAGTACCATGGTACCAATTAGGGCTGCACGATAAATCGAAATGGAATCGAGATCGCGATTCGACAGAAGCTGCGATTGTCATGCGTATCTTTCAGTGAAGCACGGTTCTGTGATCAGCAGTAAATCTCCATCCAAAGGCCAGAGGGCGCTAATATACTACGTATCACTATTAGAAATGATTAATATATTCACAAACTGACTGTTTGGCCATAAAAGAATGTTCTCTTACCTGGCATCCCAGCTTGGATGGAGAAAGACCTGCCCAACTGAATGGGTGACATCATCTTGATGGTAAGCTTTGCAAGATATATTGCTTCATATTCCTTGATGAAAACGGAAAGAACATCCATTTATTATGTATACATGTATATAAAACAGCTATAGCACTTAATGCTGAATTAATTATTAATGCTGAAATTACTTTAAAATCATACCTGTAGCTGATGAACAAAGCCTACATTGGGATTAATGCAAAATCGTCTCTCCTGTACATGACTAAACGCATCCCTGTAAGAAAGTAAATATATGACACGATCTGCAAACTTCAAGACAAACCATATTATTATGTATTCATATTTTTGGACATGTTTCTCCACTAATAATATTACCTGTATTTCACACCAAATGTCTCCATAAGGTAGGCAATAACTAAGGCAGCGCTGGGAGAAAAAAATAATTTTTTAATTATGTAAAATTAAATCAAGAGATTTGAGATATCATTTTATAAATGACTTAAAAAATAAAAAAAGAGACAGTAAAAATAATTTTTTTATAACCATTAAAAAAAGATGATTACGGACTTTAGTTTTAGCATACCTTCTTGATATCCCTGCATTTCCATGAACAAGTACCTTTCCTGCAACACAAAAATGTGCAAGACATTACACAAATTGGATGAGATACAATAAGTAAATACAATTAATGTTACCGACAATGACAATCCATTTTCTTTACAAGAAACTTATTTTTACCCAGCATCAGAACAGAGAAAGTGCTAAATATAGTATTAAAAATAGAGATCAATATGGAGAAACATTCATTACCCCCCGTCTCTAAACATCCATCAATAAATTCTTTAGTCTATAAAGAGAAAAACAGGTTATCATAATTAGATAAAAGAATCGCAGACCAAATAATGTATTAATAATATAAAATATATATACTGTACATATATAAAAAAAGGTCAGCTTACCATTTGGAAATATCTAATAATATTTTCCACAGGGTTATCTGCTATATCTAAAACAAGGTACCTACATACAAGTAAAAAAGTAAATTAGCTGTTAGAAATAGTGGAGCTTTATACTGAAGTGCCACACAGAACAAACCAGAAATCAAAATACCTAAATTTAT